CCTTCTATGGGCTCGGTCCAGACAGCAAAGGTAGGCAGCTACTGCACCACGTGGAGTTTTGTTCTCATAAAGGTGTACTAGAGTTCAAAGCTGATTGTTTTCTAAAAGCATCACAGGACATTCTGGTTTGGACCTGCTTATAAAAGTCACAGTTAAATAACAATTTTAACGATGTTTTAAACAACGAATGTGTTACGTTTGCTTTTTAAGGGTGGTGGTCATTCCGGCAAGTGGATAGCCACTGGATTGTTGAAGAAGTCATTATTTTTCAGTTGACAAATTATTAGTAAATATATTCACTTTGTAAGGTGAGGTATTATACAACATTAAAACACTATTAATTTTTAAAGGCATCCTCTAATAACTGATTTCCGAAATAAATGGTATAAACATGTATATGTAAACCAATTACGCTGTTAAAATATAGCCATTTGTGGCAATATGGAACTATCTGTTTTATCCACATCTATACATTCAAGCATGATTTAAATACTATAAGCATTTTAATTTAATCCATCTGCATAACTTTTAAACATCAATTTACTGGAGTTTGATCTTGCAGTTTTTTTTCTGAGAAGCAAAATTGTACAGATGGTGCAATCATATTTGAAATGTTTGTGCTTTGGGGAAAAATTAATACATTTTGCATGATTTTTGAATAGACAAAGGATTCCTGTTCCATTTCAACAGGCCTGACCCATCTTTAGGGGAACATAAATATGTGTTACATAGAATGAATATGTAACAATTCATTCAGTGCTTCTGAAAATGCCAAAGGGAACAAACAATCTGGAAAAAGAGGAAATGTAGGATCACTTCCCAAATCCCAGCCAACATGACTGACACTTAAGATAGTAATTTATTATATCCTGCTCCCTCCTACCTACTCCAACAGAATCTGCTGGTTTATCTATTTGAGAAAAACAGTATAAATAATATACTATTATTTTGCCTTGAAACAGAAAATTGTGCTGTCCCCCCTACTGAGTTACAGTGCCATGCAGCCACCATGGAGTGGCAGAAAATTATTTTCCCATGAAATGTGCTGCCCCATTGCCTGTGCTTCTATGGTCTCTGTTCTCAGTCACTGCCAGTCACTTATTTTCTTTCCAAAGGAGTGAGTGACAGATTTAAAAGTTCTTGAGACCGCCTTTGGATAGCATCAGAATAAGGGGGGAAATACTACTTTTACAGTGAACACTTAAGAACAGCATAAGCCTCATGGGCTAGCGATAAGATGAAGACAACTGTAAGAAGACACATCAGAAAAAAAAGAAAAGAAATCCAGGGCATGTTTATGCTGTGGTTAGGTGCAAATGGAGATGCAGCCTATTCAAGTTAGGCTAGCTGTAATTAATTTACAGTCTACTTATTTCATTGAGATTTAAGTATAGCTAATTGCATTTGGAATGGAGAGATTATGATTTCTTGAGTTCTCAGAAGACAGACTTGGGGAGCAAGATTCCTGGGCATTATTCCTCCTTTCAAAAAAGCATATGCCAGTATAAGTAATGATTTATGTAATACAAAGGGACTGCAACAAATAGATTTCATGTTGGCCTGGGGATAATGGGGACTGTAGCCCATTCAAATGGGATAAAATTTTCTACCAATAGTTTTCTGTTAGAGGAAAGAGACACTCTAAACAGGAAAGTCAACTGTACATTTTAGAACAGTGTTTCCCAACTTCAGCAACTTTAAGAGCTGTGGACTTCAACTCTCAGGATTCCCCAACTAGCATGCTGGCTGGGGAATTCTGGGAGTTGAAGTCCACGCCTCTTAAAGTTGCTGAGGTTGAGAAACACTGTCTTAGAAGATGGGAATCATCTAATAATCCTTTCCTGTAAATCTTACCTGCTATGCACAAGACTTACTTTTCATTTCACTTACCCATCTGTTACCCCTCCTAGCCTTTAAAAGAGCAGGTATTTCCCAATGTCTCCCACTTAATCATATTCAACAAATCTGTGACAAACCCATGTAGGATTGCATGAAGTTCTTTTGTAAAATGCTAAGTCTCTCTTGCATGTTGTATAATCCCCCCCCCCCCCATTCCATCATAGCAGTTCTTATGAGAAGGAGGTGACAATCTACTAAGCCACCTTTCCACTGGAAAGACCTGATGCTCAGAAATCATAAAGCATAATGAGACAAAACCTTCTGCAAATGGGAAAACAGACTATCAACAATGTCCACAGAGCTTTAGTGAGGAAGGAAAGAATGAGTTTTACTGTAGTTTCAGATATTTTGCAGCTGAGCCAGAAATAAATCAGCCCAGTTCTCAAATACTACTGACACTCTGATATCCCAGAAATGTAGAGCTGTTTTCAAACCAGCACCTTTCTCCTGAGGAAGTGTCTTGAGAGACTGTGTTGGATGCCCTCATCTATTTTTTTTTTTGACTCTCTCTTGCTGCTGGCATAACCACACCTCAGTGGCTGCTTACCAGCTTTCCCTTAGGGAAGTGTCTCTCAATTTTGGCAAGTTTAAGATGTGTGGACTTCATCTCCTAGAATTCCTCAGCCAACACGCAAAAATCTTCTGCAGCATGCTGGCTGGAGAATTCTGGGCGATGAAGTTCACACGTAAAAGTTGCCAAGGTTGAGACACACCGCCTTAGGGAATGTAATCCTGAAGCTGAAAAATGTCCCCCATGCTACCCTAGGGGTCTTAGGACTTTAGCCGTTTAGCACTTTGCAAACACGTAGCAGAACTATGGCTGTTTCATCCAAATCCAACACCATGAGTCAATACAAAGGGTACCTTGGAGCCCCTTTAGGCACTAAAATGCCCATGTAGTTTGTGTGTAGCTAATAATTAGAAGGCATTGTCTACTGGGCTTATAAAATAGTTGTGCATCTCAGTGCATGATGTTGTATATATAGTAAAAGTAGGCAGAATTTGTAGGGTTAGGCATGTTTTATTATTTGTGTTTATAGCACATAAACAAGCTAAGAGACACTGTATATTACTGCAGTTACAACGAAACTAAGAGACCATGCTGCTGTTGAAAAAAAACATTTGGTAAAATAGTGTGTCTGCTATTTACAGTTGCTCAGCAGTATAGTATACGTTAAAAAAGCATTTAAAATAATAAATAAGACCTAGGTTTTCCTGCCTGGAAAATTCCCTTATCTTGAGATCAAAGGGGACATTACGTTGGAAAACAGGTTTTAACCACTCCCACTGACAAACATCATAATACTAAAGCCTTCCTCCAGTAGACTTTGACTCCTGGTGATTTCATGGACACATTCACATAGTTTTCTAGGCAATAACACAGAAGGGTTTGCCATTGCCTTCTTGCAGGAGATAGATATTGCTTCCTGGTCTAGTCCACAGCCTAGGGATTTCCCTGTAGTCTCCTATCCAGGCTAGTAAGATCTAACACTTATGAGGTGTGCTTTTTTAAAAATTGAACTATAATTAACGTAATCAAGTAACCACATAACACAGATTCATAATGCATAGAGAAAAAAGATACAAAAAATACAAAAATCTACCAAACAGTAAGCTAAGACACAGGCATTATACACATATATATTGTATCTAAAATATTACCAGTAATAGGTCTATTGCTATTGAGATAAATTATCAAATTGATCCAAATTTGATAGAATTGTGGTTCCTGCCTCTGATATTTCATTATTTTAACTATGTCTGATTTTTTCTAATATAGCAATTGGCCTTATTAATCCATATCTCAATTATTAGATTATCTAGAGTTTTCCAATATTGGGCAATTATTATTTTAGCTACTAAAAATAAGTTCCTATTTTTAAGCTTGAGATTTGGTCCTGTAAATAAATGTAGTAAGCCTAACTCTGGGGAACATTCAATTCTTTGTTTTAGTTGTGATTTTTTTTCAAGAATATAGTATAAATGAAACACCAGTAAGAA